TAAACTTTTTTGACCCTGCCTCTTAAAAGAATCGGAATCGAGAATCGTTAGGAACCGGAATCGAAACAAGGAATCGGAATTGGAATCAGAATCGTTCAATATTCAAACGATACCCAACCCTCTATTTAAATACATGACATAATTACCATTATTGACATGCAACTCATTAATACAATATGTATTGGGCTAATAGTAAAACGTGATGTTTATTAATATGGTCGGCTATTCTGTCGGCAGCACAATAACACCTTTCTGAGTGTGTTCATGATAACTCGGTTGTTCATCAGGCTTGATGCTCGTCTCAGTTGATGGCGGTTTAATTACAGATGGGGATATCCATTATGAATAGAAACAGTGAGGTGGACACTGTGGGCTTTTGTGTTCAGCAGTTGTTTTGATTCACAGTTAATAACACTCATATTATGACTTATAAAGATAAAAATCCACTGTATTTAACGTGATTAGAGTCCCCAGCTGCGACCTCGTCGGTTTCGCCCTCAGATCGTCCTCTAAATGAATCTGTGTCAAGAAGAAAACAAATACAGTAATAGACGGCACCTGTCTACAAATTAGTGTCCTATTATTAGCAAAACAATACTATTTTCTTTGGAGAGGGATATGATTTATGAAATATAAACAGCATGAACGGTAGCAAAATTGAATCTGTGAAACCCAAGAAGTGACAATTTTCCACAAATTGTAGTGTTGACTGGAGATTTCCCCAATATAATATATGTACCGTATATATTCAGCTTCTGATATGTTGCACTTTTATCTCCAGAACGTCCCATAAGAGTTGGCTGATTACATAATGATGAAGAAGATCTTAGTCTTTATTATGTGTATATGAGGGAATAGCAGTAAAAACAGCCTCATATGCTTCCGCTGGTGTGTACCAATCATTTGATATAACTACTCCCATGATAAAACGGCACAGTTAACAGTTTCCGACAGACACAATGGGTTGAAGGCGTCCTTTGACTTTATTTAAACACCAAACTAGTCCAGATGTAGGAAATGCCATTGGACACTTTACTTTCAGTTGCCCAGGTTTAATCCTCCCTCCACCAGATGTGTGTTTGCTCGTGTGTTGGCACTGAACACGAGTGCTTTCTGAAAAACAGCCCTGCCATAAACTTCTTTGGTGAATTTTAAGACTCTATTATTGTGCCATTTAGCGGCGGTCCTGCGAAGTGCCCATCTGTTCCCGTCGGTGCTCTGGAAGGAACCGCTGTGACTTTTCTGCTGATGCGGTTGTCTATGTTGGCACACGCTGTCATTATTTATATTCCCCTTGACGCATTAATAATTCTGCAGTTATTGCACCTTCAGTTCAGGCACGGACGGATGAAACCGGGCGCATCTGTGTTAGGGCAGCCCAAGCGGAAAGAAAAGTTACAACAAATACCATATTTACTGACGTATTAATTGACACTTACTGATATAAATATAATAATTAAACTTTACTTGGAGTACGCTATTGCACAATCACATTTCTTAATATTAAAGGGATACTCCACTTTTTTTTGGAAATAAGCTCATTTTAAAAAAATATACTATGGAAGTCAATAAGACCAGAAACCGTCTGGTTACTGATATTCTTCTAAATATCAGAAAATCGGCTGAATGGATTCGAAAACGGTAAAACGCAACTGTTTAACTCTGGGGGAGATGTAAAATGAGCCTACTTCCAAAAAAAAAAAAAAGTAGAGTATCCCTTTAAGCCTAAAATGTTTTTAATATCACAATTAGTGGGGCTAGTTAGTGATGGGCGGATCGATCCTGAAGTATCGATACTTCGATACTGACGTGGTATCGAAAAGGATCGATCCTCACATAAAAATATCGATCCAAATGTGTATTTTTTTTAAACCAGTAATTTTTTATTAATTTAGCACGCAATTCAGTGCGAAAAATAAACTTCTAAGTGGAAAAATAAGCGAATGTTAGCGGGTAATTGTGTAAGATAGAACCTTTTCTACTCTTCTACTAGTCATCTGTATACAAGACGAAACCAATCAATCACAAGACGAAACCAATCAATCACAGAGAGGGTTCGATGCTGGTGCTTCGCTGAGCTCACAGGCCCAGTGTGTTTGGGAAACGAAGCCTTGCTTATGACAGAGAAACAATCGGGAGTTATTTCGCAATAAACAAACCAAAACTGTACATAACGGTTTAAAATGTTGACATCAGTAAGATCTTTTTAATGAAATTAATATTTTTATTCAACAAGGATCGATGCATTAAATTGATCAAAAGTGAAAGTCAAGGGTTTTACACTGTTAAAAAAAAAATCTACTTCATATAAATGCTGTTCTTTCAACTTTGTTCATCAAATAATTCTGCATAAAATGTATCATGGTTTCCAACAAAATATGAAACTGTTTTCAACATTGATAATAATACGAAATTTCTCCTGAGTAGCAAATCAGCATATTAAAATGAATTGTCATCATGACTGGAGTAATGATGCCGAAAATTCTGCTTTGATCACATGAATAAATTACAGTTTACTATGGCATAGAAAACAGATAGCCTATGTTAAATTGTTAAATTGTAATATTACAGTTTTTACTAAGAAATAAAAGTCTTAAAGACCCCAAACTTTTGAACTGTAGACTAGTACTAGGCTAGTACTATAATTAGGGTAGTTTTGTAAAAGTCACTGACTAATTAAAAGGGAGTTGAGAGCACAAATCACAAAATAGCTATTTAGGGCTAGCAGTCATGAAAATGTGTTCAGATTTACCAAGTTCAAATGCACGCTTTTAAAATGAAAAAGTATCGATATCGGCGATACTGGTCCTGTATTTACTTGGTATCGGATCGATACAGAAATTTGCAGTATCGCCCATCACTAGGGCTAGTATGATCTCTGCATATTATCAGTCTATAAATGCAAGTGTTCTTGCAATAGTTCCACTTTAGCGTGTCTATCTTTGGTCGGACAGCAGCACTATCTCTAGATATACTAAAGTTCACCCAAAATGAAAATTCTGTCAGTATTTACTCACCCTCATGTTATTCCAACCCCGTAAGACCTTCGTTCATCATCGGAACACAAATTAAGATATTTTTGATGAAATCTGAGAGCTGGATCACTCCTCCATACTAGTCCATAGGCTTCTTGAGGGATTGAAACTTACCGGCCTCGAAAAGTTATTAAAGACATCGTTAAAATAGTTCAAGTGACTACAGTGGCTCAATCTTAACTTTATCGAATGACGAGAACTTGTTTTTGTGCAGAAAAACAAACATAAATAACAACTTTATTTCAACTATTCACTTCCTTCTCCATGGGCCTGTAGTCAGTTAACGTAGTGTGATTGCGTAGAGCTACGTCACACGTAGGCTCACTATTGGCTGACGCTGGTCATGTGTGTGATGCGTGTGACGTACAACAACAGAAGCTTACGTTACGTTAGTATTAAACTAGTAACCTGACTCGAGGCCAAGAGAGAAGGAAGTGAATAGTTGAAATAAAGTCGTTATTTTTGTTGTTTTTTGTGCACAAAAGTGTTCTTGTCGTTTGATAAAGTTAAGATTGAGCCGCTGTAGTCACTCGGACTATTTTAACGATGTCTTTAATAACTTTTCGAGGCCGGCAAGTTTCAATTCCTCAAAAAGCCTATGGACTCGTATGCAGGAGTGATCCAGCTCTCAGATTTCATCAGAAATATTTTAATTTGTGTTCCGAAGATGAACGAAGGTCTTACGGGGTTGGAACAACATGAGGGCGAGTAATTACTGACAGAATTTTCATTTTTGGGTGAACTAACCCTTTAATACGACTTTAGTTATATAGTTAAAGGGATAGTCAACCCAAAAATGAAAATTCTGTCAGTAATTACTCACCCTCATGTTGTTCAACCCTGTTCAACTTCGAAACACAAATTAAAGGAGTAGTTCACTTTTGAAAAAACTTTTGCTGATGATTTACTCACCCCCATGTCATCCAAGATGTCCATGTCTCGAAAAGAAATTAAGGTTTTTGATGAAAACATTCCAGGATTTTTCTCCATATAATGGACTTCAATGGGAACCAAACTGTTCAAGGGCTGTTCAAAGGGCTTTAAACGACTCCAGACGATGAATAAGGGTCTTATCAAGCGAAACGATCGCTCATTAACTATTCAAGTGAGCAGACGTACACACTTTCCCTCGTGGAGTCGGAGAACTGCAGGAGTTTGGAAATCTCAGAATCTGATCATTCTCAAGTAAAGCACTGGACGTTAACTGGAGCTCTTTTATATGTTAATTATATTATTAGCTGGTGTTTAAATGGTGTTTTATCCAGAGTCTCCTTAAAGTAATCTAAAAATGGGCGTTTTTTTCTAACTCCAAATTTAATCTTTTCAAGTGTGAGAGCAAGAAGTATGCGAAACCCATGGCTGTGTGAAGATTTCAGTTCATTAGTGTACGCCAACACTGTGCAAAATGCAATATTATTCACATAAACACATTTGCAAGATCAAATGTTGGACATTTTATAATTTCAACGAAAAATAATATTTCTGTGAGAGAAAAAATGTAAGTTTTCAGAGTTTTAGTGTCAGTACTACATTAAACTGCTATATATAATGTTGATTATAATGTATAATAATGCACTGGGGGGATATTTGTCTGATGTTACCAGTAAAAAGTGTCCAACATTTAAAAAAAAAAATATATATATCTAGTCAGTGACAGTTCATATTCATCTACAATAATTCAGTATTTTCATCTTCAGGATCATGAATATTGTTATTCTGGTGTCTCTGTTGTCCTGGGCTTTGGGTTTCAGCACCGAGTCCAAGACTATTCATTTACACACACAATGCAACATCAAATTTAGCATTTTAATCAACATTGCATTTTGTGTTAACCTTGTTTTGCAATAAAATCGTATGGTGAAATGTATGGAGGCGTCGTAACACCCTGATGTCTGTAATTGACCGTCGTGCACTTCATGTGTAATGATACACGACCGCATGTGTTTTCTTGTCTCCCTCGCACAGCGTTCCAAAATAGCGGTGTACGAAAAAATGTGGTCGTACATGAAATCGGCCGAGCCCTCCGTCTTCGCCAAGACCACGCCCGACGGAGTGGCACGGGTACGAAAGTCGAAGGGCAAATTCGCCTTTCTTCTCGAGTCCACCATGAACGAATACATTGAGCAGAGGAAGCCCTGCGACACCATGAAAGTGGGCGGCAATCTGGACTCGAAAGGCTACGGTGTGGCGACCCCCAAAGGCTCAGCATTAAGGTGGGTGGAATAATATAACAATATTCTCCATGTTGTTATAGTATTCCACCTACCCTGATGTCCTGTGTTGTCATTTCCCCTCCCCCCTTCCCTTCCCTCCCCAACCCCCCCTCTATTCTGACAAAGAGGTAACGGTATAATGCATTTTGATTGTTATTTGATTCACAATGATGCTTCTGATCAGTGCTCTCTTCTTTAAATGTTTGTCTTCTTTTCCAGTTTTTCAAGCAGATTTTTATCATTTCGAGTGGCAATCATTTCCCATCTGTGTGCGTGTGTGTCTGCGTCTCTCTGCTGTCCTTCTTGTCCTTCGATCTTTCTCTCGCTGTCTCGCGTGGCTGTCCTTCCTGACTGTCGTGTTGTCACTTTTAATTTAACAGTTCAACGGTTTTTCAATTTAGCTTGTAAAAGCTGCGCTGTCACTTGTGACGAATGTTAATTGCATGATGTTTGTTGTTGTTACTTTTCTTCTCAATGACAATGTCCCCATCCCGCACACTTCAGTTTGAGACAGCGTAACCCTCCATGCCACCTTGACTATTTAACACTTTCTTTGCTCTGAGCGTCTCTTACCTTCATATTGGTGAAATTCTTAACCAAATTGTGCTCTTTCAACCATTCTGATTATTATCTATAATTGACTCTCAGTAGTAGTAGCTCACCGTATTCAGTAACGTTACCATTACTACTACTATGCTAATGCAGTAGATTGCTCACAGACCTGTGCATTTTCTTACAAGTTATGTTTTATTGTTTCAAGAAATGCTGTTAACCTGGCAGTTTTAAAACTGAATGAGCAAGGCCTGTTGGACAAATTGAAAAACAAATGGTGGTACGACAAGGGAGAGTGCGGCAGCGGGGGAGGTGACTCCAAGGTCAGCCTCAATGTCACCGAAATCGGGTACCATAGTGCAGAGTAATCGGCAAGCCTGTTATTCCTGAACCGAGCCAAACCAAATCCAAAGACAAACGCACCCTTTCAACATTAATGTGCCATCTGAGAGAAAACCAGAACCCTGACTTGGCTAACGGAGGAGAGAAAACGACCAGTGTGATTTTGTCCTACTGAGGAGAAGGGATCTTGTTTTGTTCAGCGATGTCAGTTAGCGCTAGCTCATTAGCCACATTAGCGCCCAGACCGGCGAACTGTTCGTGTTTCGGGAGTCGGGGGAAACATCCGCCTAGCAGACGGTGGAGAGAGATTTCAGATTGCCTTCTCGCTTCGCTTCTGCTAGGCGGAGGTCCGCGGACGGTGACCCGGTCTTGCTAGTCGGTTAGAACGACAATGCTGCTTATGGCCAGTTTATGCCAGATGTTAAAGTGGAAGTGTGTAAAGGCCCTTTCCAAACCTAGTAGAATCAACTTACCAGGGGTGTAATAATATATCGTGTCACAATATATCGCGATACTAAAAATGCAACAATTTCTACTGTGAATAGTTCCCCCGAAATGAGTTTTAGGGCCTTGTTTGGTCCGAATCAAAATCACAGGTCCGGAACAAACAGATGAAATTTGGTCCGGCGAAAAGCGGTAGTCCGGATCAAACTGAACAAAGGTTTCATTTCTAGTGTGAAACTTGCAGTCTTCTCTTCCTTTCCTGCCCGCGACGATAAAATGTTCGCACGACGAGGATGTTCATTTGGCGAATTTGAACTGGCCTTGTGTGTAGTTGGTTTCGCAGGTAATTATGCCATAAAAATAACAATATAGTTGCAACGATATGCGTCTGTTCGTTCATGTTGTCAAAGTTACCCGCCAAATTGACAACACGCTGACGTCCATTTACTAAACCAATCGGTGTCAAGATGCGGCCCACATAGATGATGATGACAGGACGCAAGTATGTCGCGTAAAGTTCTTTAGTGCGCACGCATTATTGCAAATGTGAAAGCAAACCAAAACTTTCTGAAAGTATGAAATGTATCAAAACGTGAACTTTGGTTCGGACCTTGGTGCAGACTTTCAGGTGTGAAAACACCCTTATGCCTGGTTCAGATTACACGATTTTAGCCCGATTTTGGCACAATCCGTTTATCGTAGGGTGTCGTGGGGATTCGTAAACGACAACGGGCGTCGGGACAAAAGATTCGAGCGTGTCATCTCGTATAGTGTCTCATAGTGGCCGTCAACCTATGTCGCGTCTGCAATGCTTCATGACATCACGGCAAAAAGACTAGCATGTTTAATTTTTTTAACGGTCGTCCACGACGGTTCCGTCACATGTATGAGGTTGACCAATAGGAGCACAGAAGCTTTTCCGTAAACAACTTTAAAAAATGGCGAAACGAAAGAGAGACGATGGTGCTAACGTTAAAACTAAAAGTAAAAATATATAAGAAAACAATATTTTACCTCAAGTTCTCTTTGGAGGGTTTTCTTTCTCTTTTTTTTACTTTTTTCTGAACACAGGACAGCCAATACAACACTCACCGCTTCATCCATTGTTTGTTTACGTTCGTTTCCAGAAGTCACTCGCTACTAGTTTCGCCTTCTTGATGACATCACGCACGCCATTTAAGACGGCATGCCATGACTGGTCAGGAAGGAACGTGTAGTCTGACATGTCTTGTCCACGACGCCACAAGATTTTAGGAGTCAAAATCGTGTAATCTGACACAGTGACTATCGTAACAGACAAAAAAAAATGGTGTAATCTGAACCAGGCATTAGTGTCAGTAATACATTAAACTACTATATATAATGTATAATGATGCAATTAGGGAATTTTTGTGAATCCTGATAATGCCTAATATCTGATGTTACCAGTAAAAAGTGGCTATTATTATAAATATATCTAGTCAGTGACAGATCAAGCATATTCGTCTACAATAATTCCGAATTTTCATCTTCAGGATCATAAATATTGTTATTCTGGTGTATTGTCCTGTGCTTTGGGTTTCAGCACCGACTATACACACACAATGTAACACCAAATTCACCATTTTAATCAACAGTACATTTGAGTATCGCAAAAATATCGTATTGTGAGTTCAGTATCGCAATATGTGTCGAATTGTGACATCGGGGTCTCGTTACACCCCTAGTATGTAGAGCAAAAATCATCCACTTCAGCTTTAATATCTGACAGAAACTTAAAACCTGTAGGTTTAGTCTCATCAAGGCTGGTAAGAGCAAACACTGACACACACAATGTGATCCGAGTCTTGAGAGGCTAAGAATAGCACATGTACAAGAGATTTCCCATCTCCACACCAATCTCCTCGACGGCGATGTTAACCTGCACAGCAGGGGACGTGTCTTAGTTTCTGCTCGTATGGAGGTGAAGATTAGCTGATGTGCTACTCTTAGACTTTCCAGTTCATTTCACATTGTAGGGCCATTTTCTGTGGAACTGTTGTTGTTATTGTTGTTTATTCTGAGAATAATAGTAAAAATGGGGACGCACGTGATGAGGGCTAACAGTGCTTTTTCACGTGTGTTCTCCATGAAAGTGTACAACGTTAAAAGCCTCATTTTCAGGACCTTCAATTTTGCCGGAGCACGGATGTAGTTTGTATAATAAATGCAATATGGAGCAGACATTTTCTCGACATGTTAAAAGGATTTATGTAACCACTAAAAGCATTTCAATTTAAGTGAAATTTCTTGCAATCTACCAAAAAAGTTCAGTGTACATTTGCATAACATTTCGAATTGTAAATGCTAGCCTTTTCTCCACTTGAAGATATGGAACAATCTTAGTGCTTGAACACGTTGTATAATCTCAGTTTTGAGGATCTTGGGAAGTTTTTCATTTGATTTAAAGTCAACATGAAATGGCATTCGCCGCATCGTATGTGTGGGACATTTCTGAGTGAAATTTTGGGATTGTTGATCAAATCAACTATGTAGTAATAAAACTTACTTGATAATTTACTCACCCCCATGTCATCCAAGATGTCCATGTCATTTTTTTTCTTCAGTCGAAAAGAAATTAAGGTTTTTGATGAAAACATTCCAGGATTTTTCTCCATACAATGGACTCCAATGGGAACCAAACGGTTCAAGGTCCAAATGAGAGTTTCAGTGCAAACTGTTCAAAGGGCTTTAAACGATTCCAGAATTTAAACGATTCCATCAAAAACCTTAATTTCTTTTCGACTGAAGAAAGAAAGACATGGACATCTTGGATGACATGGGGGTGAGTAAATTATCAGCAAATGTTTGTTTTTTTTAAAGTGAACTACTCCTTTAAATACTGCACTGATAATAATTGCATACTAAGGTTTTAGAAAGGCTGGAATACTTAAAACAGATAAAGGTAACCCAGGCTCATTGGGAAAAATTAGCAAAACCATAACAATACATAACATTTTTTCTTCATATTTTCTGTCGTAATAAACTTCCTGGGAAGCTCACCTGGTACAGCAGTGCACTAGCGATGTCACAATTAAAGCTAAAATGCTCAAATGTCATGGTTTCTTCAGCAAATGTGTTCTTATATCACGTTTGCTGTTGTTGCGATTCAGAAATGAAATGCCCAGATGCTTTTATCCAAAGAAACCTTGAAACACATTCTTATCATTTCTCGCTTTCCCTGGGAATCGAGCCCATGACCTTGGCGTTGCAAGCACCAATTCTCTACAATTTGAGCTACAGGAAAGCTAAAAACATAAAAAAACAACAACATAATAAACATGCCACATTTAAATTAATTCATCTCAGATGAAACTGTTTTCCCAATGAGCCTGGTTGGAAAAAGGCTCATGCCTACATTGCAAGTGTAGGAGCTTCTTTCCGCCACAGAATAAAAAAATAAAAAAAGGTAATTGTGATTTTATCTAACAATTCTGACTTTTTATCTCAGATTTGCGTGCTATAAAGTCGCAATTGTTTGTTATAAAGTCAGAATTGCATGATATAAACTCGCAGTTCTGACTTTTTTCTCGCAATTCTGACTTTATAACACCCAGTTGGGAGATATAAAGTCAGAATTGTGAGATATAAACTCACAATTGCAAAAAGAAAGTCAGAATTGCGAGTTTATATCTGTATCTGATATCTTCAATTCTGACTTAATAACAAGCAATTCCAACTTTATATCCTGCTATTCTGAGAAATACCGTCAGAATTGCATGATATAAACTCGCAGTTCTGACTTTTTTTCTCGCAATTCTGACTTTATAATGCGCAATTGGGAGATATAAAGTCAGAATTGCGAGTTTATATCTGTACATGATATAACGGGTGATATATAGCGAGAAAAAAAGTCATAACTGTGATCTTAAATCTTCAATTCTGACTTTATAACATGCAATTGCAACTTTATATCCTGCTATTTGGAGAAATAAAGTCAGAGTTGCGTGATATAAAGTTGCGAGAAAAAAAAGTCGGAATTATCTTTTAAAATCTTTTATTCTGAGGCGGAAACCAGCTTCCATGAGTCCTATAGGTGACATCTTCCAAAAACAAGGCGTGCAAGGCTTTGTTCAAAGAAAACATGCACAAACGCGCCCAATTAGACCAGAAATGTGTATTCAGCCAGAACATAATGATTTCATGTTGACTTAAATTTAAAAACTTTTTCACAGTTTTCTAATTCCTGAAAATGGGGCCTGAACACCAAGGGAGCAGGTTTTTCAGCGCAATCAAAAGCATTGTGCCTGTGGAGGAAGGTGAAAGGTTATGTGAGCTTTCATAATCACCTTCTTTGTTCCAGCTCTCTGTTTTTGCAGTTTGCAGTGATTTGAAGCCCCCATTAGTGGCCATGCAGTGGATGGGCTAGCTCTAATGATCTAATGCAGTGAGTCGACAGTGGCGCGTCTGGACCCAGCTGTGGAAAAACACAACAAACAGAGAGAGAGAAACAGCAGAAAAATCCACATTAAGCCACCTGCAACAAACAGACATCAAACCGGCCTCCTGGCGGCTGATAGCTTTCCCACTGCAGTCGCTCTGGATAATTACGTTGTTAATCAATGTCTCTCCCCAAGCTAAAAGAAATGTCAGGACCACAAAGCTAAATCAGAAGCAGGCTTGAGAAATGTAAAGAACATTTAAGAGACTAATTACGTCTAGACGAGTGATGGCACGGCTTTCTATTATGGTAAAAAAAAGTACACAGTCTATTATAGTTTAAATCAAAATCAATCAGCAGTTTACATAACTTTATTTTAGAAAAATGACGTCCTGTAGCGATAATATTTAGGTTAGCAATGCACTTAAAGTCAACATGAAATGACTACGGGTTTATTACGCAAGAAAATTATTTATTTCAATCAAGAAGACCTGATTGCATATAGATTGATATCTTTATTTTTAACATGTGAATACTTTTTTTTTAAATGAGAGAAAGAAAAAATTATGGTAAAAACTAAAAAAAATAAAACTTTCCAGTACCTTAAAATAACTCTAAACGTATGTACTCCTACCCATATTGTGGAAAAGCGGTATAAAAAATATGTGCGGGAACAATTTTCACTCAGAAATTGCTTGTAAATTTGCCAAATAATAACAAAGAAATGGTCATTTTGGTGGAATTTCGTCTAAAACACACTCCAATAGTCTTTATTTACAACATTACAGTGTACAACAATCACTTGTGCCGTATGGAAGCTTCTTTACGGCGTGAAAAAAAAAATTGTCTCACAATTCTGACTATTTCTCGAAATTACAAGTTTGTGTCTCGCAATTCTTTTTTCTTAAGAGTTTTGAGATATAAGCTCAGGGGGGGGAAACTAAATCAGAATTGTGAGATAAAAAGGACACAATTAACTTTTTTATTTTTTATTCAGAGCAAAGTTATTGCATTGTGATTTTGATTTCATGTTGACTTTAATCATCTGAAACACCTGCCAACGGTGTGTAACTACCCAAAACAGTCCCAGCTTCGTTAGCCGCTAATGCTAACGCCATTCACAGTAGCCACCGATCAGCAAAACGTAGCATTAAATCTCGCATTCTCCTCGGTAAATGCCCTGACTGTTTGTGTGTACGGTCTCGTTTACTTTTTGTATGTGCGTCTGCTTGTTTGGTTTGTTTGTGCTCTCCGCCCATAATCCGAGCGCTAACGCCAACTCTCCTCAGCCTGAGCAAAATACTACTGGTAGTTTTCGTTGGTCTGTCAGTCAGTCGAGGGTTCCAGTGGAGATCCACATTCTCAGATGATCAAATTAACCAAGCTTCTCTGCTTTTATAGCCATCTCTTCAGAAACCTGCCCGCTCTTCTCTTAACAGTGTATGCCGATTACTCAAAGCGATACGGGTAGGTCCTGGCACACTAGCTTAGCCCTGGTGAATGGAAGGTACTAGTCAGAATGCCTGCCACATGTGTGTTGATAATGGCCAGGAGCCCTGCTTTATCGCTTTGTAAAGTATGAAGTAGTTAAGACTTGAATAACATAAAATAACATAATATAATGTTATTTATGTTATTTCCCACGTGAAGAACTCCTGTAAACCTTGCAGTATTGAAACTCAGTGAACAAGGCATCTTAGCCAAGCTGAAAAACAAATGGTGGTACGATAAGGGTGAATGTGGAACCAAGGACTCGGGAAGTAAGGTCAGTCGCTGCAGGTCTTTTGTACTGATTCACAAAAAATTGCATTTTGACATATTGTTCATATGCAAAGAACAAGCCAATAGTCAATAGCTTGATTTAACTCATGTGTAAATGTAATAATTCATGGCCACAGATAAGAAAAAAAAAATCATAAAACAATAAGGCATGTGGCTTAGTTTTGCACTATTCCCCATGAGATGATCAGATAAATGATGGAAAACATTTTTCTGTTTGTTTTCTTCTTTTGTTTTTAGTGTTTTATCCAATGAATGCCCTTAAATAAAGCCGTAATGATAAATCTTGTAATGGGGAATTAGTTAAAAGTAACAGATTTCTCTGCATACCAATTGTCTTTCTTGCTTATTTTTCACTTGATATAAATGACACAATAACCATTATGCTGCAGTTCTTACTCACCAAACTTCGAATTTAAAATTTGATGTATTAGTGTTGTTACTTATTTGTCTTTTACTCAAGAAAAAAAGGCAGATTATTCGTTAACCACGAACGTCGAGACGAATTTCATTAAAGGAGCCAAGGGGGACTCGTCTTGGGTAGAAAGTGAATTTCCGGAAGAGTCGAAAAATGAACGGCAAATGGTGTAATACTAATGGACAAATTTTTAATGGACAAGTTTGGGGGGTAAACTGCAGCAGAATGGTTCGACTGATTCTTAAACTCAGTACTCTGGTGTAGAAAATATGTCAAAATATGAATTTGAAGGTTAAAGGATGGAAAGGCAGTTGTTTAAAGTAAGGTTATTAAGTCAGAGGTCTGACCTGTACGTAACTGACCAGCTTCCTCAGATACATGAAGAAGCCAATGAGAAGAGCAGGTTAGAGAAAACATCTACATTCACCAGTTATGGTCCAGATTGACTTTAACTTACACTGAGCTAGTCGAGCTTTAGACGAGCCGTATCATAGATGTAATTCTCCATTGGAATCTAGATTCCTCTTTTAGCCATAGAAATGTGTTTGATATAGTCTTGATAGAAGAGCTGTAGAGTGAGTGTTTTGTCACATGATTTCCACTGCCAGATTTGCTAACTATGTGCCTCGCTTCTCTTAGGACAAGACAAGTGCACTGAGCCTGAGCAATGTTGCTGGTGTCTTCTATATTCTGGTTGGTGGACTAGGCCTGGCCATGATGGTGGCTTTGATAGAGTTCTGTTATAAGTCCCGTGCCGAAGCCAAACGGTTGAAACTTGAAAAGAACGCACAAAGCTATAAGCCGGCCCCGCCAGCCAACACACAAAACTTTGCCACGTACCGAGAAGGATACAACGTGTACGGGACGGAGAGCGTGAAGATCTAACGGTAATGCTTCTATGCGGCCTGAGTGTGTGTGCGTGTGTGTGTGTGTGTGTCAAAGCCGGAGATTGTGTTTGTCCTTGCAATGTCATTAATTCCATATAATGGAATCAATTGAGAAGTGCAGTTTTTTTTCTCTCCTAGCACTAGCTGGTTTTCAAACGGTTGCATCAGTCAGACTGTGATGGAAACACATTCAGCTAATATTTGTACAATAAATAATGAAAGAAATCCATGTTCTACATGTGTATCGTTTGGCACAGACAAAAAAACAAACGAACCCAAAACCAATACAGTGGAAGATTGGAGGAACAGACGCGCCGTCATTGTCATCTGAAATCATTGACAATAATATCAAATCAGGACATATTATATTATTGTGGTAACACTTTACAATAAGGTTCCTTAGTTAACATGAACTAAGATTAAACACTACTTCTACAGCATTTATTAATCTCAACATTTACCGGTACGCTATTTAAATAAAAGTTTGTATTTGTTAACATTAGTTAATTCACTGTAAACTAACATGAAAAAACAACGAACAGCTGTATTTTTATTAACTAATGCCTGGTTCAGATTACACGATTTTAGCCCACGATTTTAGGGTGTCGTGGGGATTCGTAAACGACAACGGGCGTCGGGGTGCAAGATTCGATCGTATCATCTCGTATAGTGTGTCATAATGGGCGACAACCTACGTCGCGTCTGCCATGCTTCATGACATCACAACAAAAAAACTAGCATGTTTAATTTTTTTAACGGTCGTCCACGACGGTTCCGTCACATGTATGAGGTTGACCAATAGGAGCACAGAAGCTTTTTTCCGTACACAACTTTCAAAAATGGCGAAACAAAAGAGAGACGATAGTGCTAACGTTAAAAGTAAAAATATAGCATTAAGGGTGTCTCTGAAAACAGACATCATGCAACATGACATCATGACTTTTGCGTAAACATACACGCCACTTTCAAGTCAAGTGGCGTGTTATCTATACGCATTTTAAGCTATCCGCGTGTATGTCTACGCCATTAATGTCCGAGTGATTCTGCATGTATGTACACGCCGTCAAATGTCCGAGCGAAACGAAGCAAAATGTAAATCTACATCTGGGGAGCGATATTTTTTTCCTAGGATGGTAGGGAAAGACTCATAAATGCTATTAACCCCAGTGACGGGTAGGTTTAGGGACCGCGTTGGGGTAGGTCATATAATGTAACGTTAAGTCAACGGCGTTCATAAACACGCTGAAAAGTGACTATGCGTGTTGATAGGACGCCAAAAATGGAAATACGAATTGGTGTGTCATACACGCGCAATTTCATGAGATCAGTCTGCATCATGAACAGGCCAAAAGTGTCCAGCTGAAATTCAAGACATGTGAGTTGATGTGATTGAGGAAATGGGAAACCCCTTCGCAGAGGACAGAAACAACCTTGAAGCTGAACTCGAGAGAATTAGCAGACCAAGCTGTTGTGAATGCTGTTCGAGTTGCATAGGATGGGACAAGACAAGAGGACAAACTCTTTGTTGCAGAGGACACAAAACGCATCACTGCCCATTTGAAGAGGAACAAGCTCCCTCTTCTTTTAACAGTTTCTATAAGAAGACAGTCCAAGACAAAACTCCCTGAAAAATGACTGTGCACTGTTTTACAGACTCTACATTGTCTGTCAGACCCGTGATGGGAACCGAGAAAACTTCTTCAAAAACTGAAATCAGGCCTACCCTCCATCACTCTCACTTCATGGTGGAGTGCGCTTGGGAAACTGCCTAGAAAACAGTATAAGAAGTGCCTCACGAAACAGTGCCCCAGATAGTGAGGTCTAAATATTATATGGGTCAGCAGTCATCAACATGCTGAAACCAGGCGTAGCTAAAACCTTTGATGACTTTTCCAACAAGATCTTCATACCTTATATTAAAGAGAAACTTGAAATGGTCAAGAGAGTGGATGTTGTATGGGACTGCTATGAAGTTACCAGCTTAAAGTCCCAGGAGCAGGGGAAGGGGACAAGAACAGGAGTGGATGGAAAAAACGTAAAAGTTAACAAACACACAGGGAAGGCTTCCTGAGAGTGGTTATAAACAAAACTAGCTGTTGTACTTTCTGACCAGGGACCTTGTGGAAATGTCAACATCCAAACAAATTGTTTACCCAATCATCTCACCCACAAGAATCAGATCAGATCACACCTTGCACACGTGAAGAGGCACATACTGTACAAGGATGCATCTCCATGCGGTGGATCCTGCAAGAAAAGGATTTAAAAAGACCCCCCTTGGCACCGTGGACCTACTGTTGTGGTTCTAGCCATAGCACATGTGTCAGAGATGGACATTGAGGAGTTATGGGTGGCATTCAGGACTGGCAAGAACTTCACTTGCCAAGTCTCTGGGTCCTGAAAAATCCAAGACCCTTTCTTGTGTTCCATGCCTTCACTGGCTGTGACACAGTCTCTGAATTTGCAACCAGGGGCAGTATGGCATACCTGGAATGCAGATGAAATGGCAACGTAGGCCTTCATGGCTCTGTCAAAGGCTCCAAAAAGCGTTCCGCCATTGTTGAGTCGATCCCCGAACGCCGTTCATACAGTTCAGAAGTTCGTTGAACTTCATAGAGTTCAGATCACTCAGCACGACGTTCGTGGTTTGACTTATCGAGACTATTTTTTAAGATGGCTCCTGCCTGTATACGCGAAGTGAACTGTCTTCATAAAGTATCTTCTTATTAAACGGTCTGTACACTTACAAAGTTCTCAATGCTTCGTTTTGCATGCATGGAGCCTCATTATGTTACTGCGTTAGTGTGGGGCTATTTTGAGTATTGTTAGTGGTATAAACTAGCGATTTCTTTTTACTTAGTCAATGCCCCCATTACTAGCATTATACGCTAAACAGTTTTTAGAGATAAAACTCTTTACATTCGATTATCATGAAAACAAATCTCAGAGAACGGTTGACTATGTACCGATGTTTTATTAGACCAAAGGTTCATTGTTCGCCGGAGTTCTCCTTTAACCTAATTGTAAAGTGTTACCATTATTGTTTTCTTGTCGAAAATAATGCATAATTACACTACATCTAGGGTCTGTAAAACAAATTTTCAATGTTTTTGATTTAAAATCGATTGAAAGTCAATGCAATATCCTCATTAATATTGGGTGTGTGTGTGTGTGTGTGTGTTTTTCAGACTCACAGCCTGGCAGCGTGGTGTGACGATTACAACAAACACCTTACAGAGATGGCTGGATCTACAGGAGGGGTCAATGCTTCTCTCGCCCACTCTCTCTCTCTCTCTCTCTTTTTCTCTCTCTCTCTCTCTCCATACACACCTCAGCTCCAGCCTCTCTCGCCCACGCAGACGCCACAGCCAATCAAAGACCTCGGTCGCGCCGAGCGCCGCCACAATTGGGATAGATTTCTTCAGTGCCTTATGGAATATTCAGAGTCTCACACACTGATGCAAACTCATCGCAGGAACATTGCATCGCTCCAATCAATGCCATCATCTTATCTGTGAAATTAAAAGCGAGAAATAAAGCCATCACTTGAGATCTTAGCACACCGATCGGACTTGAGACGTCTTCTCTGGACATTGTGCTCGAGCTTGTACTACTGTAAATTTGCTTTCACACTCATTCAATCGGTGTATTGATTTATCAGATTACGGATCGGGATCTTCTTGAGTGGGTCGGATGTGTTGCGGTATATCGTGTGCTTTTCTTTTGTCTGATGATCTATATTTCTCAAAAGTTCAGAAGCTATAAACCCCCTTTGACCTTCAATAACGTGAGCGTCAAAAAACCCCCCCAAAAAATCACAATCTCATTCATTCGCACACGCTTGACACATGAACTTCCAAGATTTTTGTAGTTTTTATCACGGCACACTGTACAAGAAACCCAAGCTATCAAACGGATCACATTAATGTAGATAAACCGCAATCCACAAAAAAAGGACATGGCTTTTATGATGTAGTATTTGATTACCTCACGGTTCTCCGGATATAATTCGCACATGAAATCAAGCTTTTGAGATTTAGTTTCTATTTGATGCGCATTATTAGTGTTTGGTGAATTATTTAGAAAAACAAGACTAGGATTAATAACATTTACAATAGATTTATAAACGGAGCTAACGGGAAAGCTTAGCACATTTACATTTTGCTGTGACATTTTTTTGTGTGTGTGTGTGTGTGTGTTGGAGAGAAGGAAAACAAACTGTGACTCCATGGATATCGCTGATCCTGGACAGATAGTTTTATAACGAAACGCTTTTAAAAAGACGTCAACGTGGAAAACGAATCGAAAACCAACTGTACATTTCTAGTGAAGGATTCACAAAACGAGTGACTGGATTCCCAAATTTTCTATCTGCATGCGAAAACTTGTGATTGCCAAGTAAAGCCCTGCGACTTCCATTAGATTCTAGAGGGTCGGTAGAAAGTGGGTTTCAGCGTTGATATTTTGACCTGTTTCTTCCTGTAAAACTGCACTTCTTCAGCCCAGAGTACATGAGCGGGCGACAGGCTGATGTAAGACATGCATGCGTGGGCGTCCGTTCCCCAGCCCTGATAGTGAGGCCTTGTACAAAGAATTTTAATACATTTTGTAAATAAAGACCAAGAAAAAACTGTATAGAAGAATGTGTGGGGGCTTTTTTTTCCTCCTGTGGTTCTCAAATTGTTAATGCGGGCTATTTTTTTTTTTTGCTGGGAAGGGTTTGGATTACCAGTTACCACACAACAACAGCATTCTCCTGGAGTTTTATTTTTATTTGTCATAAACAAAACAAACGGAGACAGCATCACGTGCACAAATTAAAAAAAAAAATGCTAACTTAATCCTCCATCCTCCATATTTTGGCTATTAAAGGCAGGGTAGGCAATTTCAGAAAGGCTAGCTATAGAGTCATGGGCTGCGTCCGAAATCGCGTATTGTGTGAGTAGGCACTATATTTAAAAAAGAACGTACTTCGCGACCATTAAAAAAGTACGTTCTATATTGACCCCTTTTCAGTTGGTAAACATGGTGACGTTTTTTTGAGGGCGGCGCTTCGGTGGAGGCAGAACGATCCCTCTGGTCGCTTCACTAATGCTAGTTAGCAAGTAGGCTTATTGTTAGCTTGTTTTTTAAACAAGAGGCTGGAGAAAATCAGATATTATCTTAATGTGTGAGGTCACTCAGTGTCCAGGACCGCGATTATTATTTCCAAAAGTTATCTTTAACGGACGGAACCAGATTGGCCGACCCGTAGCCGCCTATACACTCACTCAGTGATGGACGATCTGACAGGATTAACGTTACGTTACCTCGGTTGAGTGGCCTGACTTCTACACCTACCTTATAGAGAAACCGTAAAGTGAAACTGAGGTTATATAAAGCTTTAGATGCCTATATGGTCCTGTACAAGACTTGTGTGTATGATCCGCGGTTCTGCCGAGACGACGACAATGTAAAGAGTGACATTACGGTGCGATTTTAATGATGTGAATATTTTCTAGAAATAAAAGTTCCAGATACAGCATATTCATTTTTCATGAATTCTTGCACCAAACAACACAACAAGATGACATTTAATAATAGTAACAATAATTTAAGCTCCTTATTATGTAGCCGAATCTGTGCTGGTTTGTATTGGCCGCCTCCAGTTTTCACTTTGTTTTGGCTCCAGCTAGCGCCGTGACGTAACTGTGACGTCGGCGCAAAAGGGGTCTATAGTATGAATACGGGTAGTATGAATGAGTCCGGACGTACTACATGCGCCATGTGGTGGGCGCGTGACATACGCTGTCACAACAGTGCAAAAATTTAAAGAGCCCCCCAGATAGCAAACTGACATTGAATCAACGTGGAAATATGACATTGAAACAACGTTGATCTGACATTGTTTTGCTCATCGAATTAACGTTGAACCAACGTCAGACGCGTCATTCTTTCAAAACTAACGGAAAATCAACTTGAAATCAACGCGTTGTTTCAACGTTATGAAAGCAAACCAATTTTCGATTTTCATTTAGCTTTGAAGAATGTCTGACGTTGGTTCAACGTTAATTCGATGAGCAAAATCGACGTTGTTTCAATGTCATGAGAGACGTCGTTTCCACGTTGATTCAATGTCAGTTTGCTGTCTGGGCCATGAGCAGTGACTGCACCAACTTCGCACTGTTTCTGTTTTCATCTGCGTTTTTACGTCGTCCAAGCCGACAATCAAGGGGAGGCGTCGGTCAGCTGCTCGCAGATCACGCCTTTTGCCGAATTTCTCAAATAACATTTATTTACCTAATAAATTTTACCTCATAAAACACACACACAACCCTTATGAGCAATGACAGATGTTGATTTTTGGCAAGGAAAAAGCCATTTATTTGCTTGTGATATCATCGATAAATAAACATGAATGAATCAATAGAGGTACGCGTGTGTCTGTGTTAATCTCATGTTACAGCTGCATCTCTGGTTTCCGCCATTTTCAAATATAACGACAACAACTACTCTCCCGTGGCATCATGGGATAGTAAAGTGTCCATCGTATGCGCACTTCAGAATCTTGCCAGAAGTAGTAGGTCATCTGGGTACTTTTCGCCAAATGATTTTCCAATTTCAGACATACTACTCTGCTCGCGTACTGTTTTTCGCATACTATATAGTAGGGAAGTATTCGATTTCGGACGCAGCTTCAATGTATTTTCGTAGGCTAAACCGTATGTTTCTCCGAAAAACAAAACAAAACCTCAATAGGAATTTCCACTGGCTTTTGGATTACTGCAGAAAATAAGATCTGTGACTCAAGACTCTTTCAGTCTTGAAGAACATTTTCCCTGAAAGATCGAGGTAATCTTTTGTGAGAGAGCAGTTTGATTTGATTGACGATTCTCCATAGTCAACTACACATGCTAAAGGTTCTGGCATAAAGACAGTTTCTCCAATACATTTTAAATTATTATTATTTTTTTTTAACAATCAGAAAACATTGAACTCACTCATTAACTTCTGGATGAATCAGCGTTTTTGAATAAATCTGTTGAATGAATGATCCACTGGTGTAAGATGTGATTGATATACAATCTTTATTCAAGTTACTTTCAAAAGGTGATTTACTCTGCTTTCCTCACTACTGTAGACATCAGTGTTTCCAAACTATAAACTTTTATCCCAGTAATTCTGTGATCATTTGAATTATTATAACACAGAAACAATGAAACTGTGGTTGAGAAGCTGTTTCATGTGACTACTCTCTGTGGTTCAACGGCAGTGTCGACGCAGATATGAAAATCGCTGTGATCTACTCGTCAAAGGTTAATAGACAGAGATATGATCTCCTTCATGTTTGAATAGAGCTCATGATCTGTTCATTTTCTACAAGGCTTCGAAAGGAGAAATATACGAGTTTACCTGTTCAGCTGATGACGTCCCATTTAGACACCTTACAAGACAAGCCAAAAATCACAAGATGGTAGTAACGTAGATGTATTCTATGTTGTGGGAATAAAACTTGAAAATATCTCGAGCTTGGAGGAACGGTGAGGTGACTGCAGTTTGACTGTTTGTCTACAACTTCCACATCATTCATTTTGACTGACAGGATCTAAAAAAGGATCTAAAATAAAGCTGTTTTTGTTCACATTTTCATTTTTATTCACGAACTGTGCATTTATTTATGAAGAGAAAGTTGAAAACAGATAGCTTGAGATAGGCTACTTTTCAGGTTTCATCATGAATGTTTTTGTCCAATATCAATAAGCTGTTACTTTTGATATGAAATAAAGTCTCAGCTTTTAAATTATGTCCATTTTATTACAAAATTCAAAGAAGTAACGTCACCGTTTTGGCGCTCGAGTGAGCGCGATCATTCACTGCGGTCAAGTGGGCCGCGCTTGAAAAATACACGGTCAAGCCAGCCGCACATTTTTTTACATGCGCGTCAAATCCTGCACTTACGGTATGGGTGCTGAAAGACGCCCAAATTGATTTTAAGACTCCTTTTCCTGCTATTTTCCATCGTATTAGGACACAAATAATACAATTTCATGATTTTTTCCTAAAACATGACTTTTAATATTGTTTGTTTGTTGTTATTTGTAATGTTTCTAGGCTTAAATATTAATTATACCTATTATAATGTATTCAATTTCATATTATTAAAAATGTATCATGCATTTTTATTGTTAATATTTACGTTTTTTAGACACTATTTTCTGCTATTTTCCATCTTATTATGAGACAAATAATAAAGTTTTTTTTTTTTTTAAACATGACTTTTTCGTTTTTTTATTATTATTTTTATGTTGGTTGGCCTATATATGATTTACATCAATTTCAATTTTATTTTTTAAAGATTTAATTTATTCATGCTCGTGTTAATGTTAATTATCATACATCATTACTTTTTTTTACATTTAATTGTTAATTTGAATGTTTATATATATATATATATATATATATATATATATATATATATATATTATACATTATTATTGCCTACTTTATCAATGTGAATGAAATTGAATATTAATGTTAATTATCAATACATTCATTTAGCATTTTTTGTTGTTTTTTAATGTTTGTATAATGTATACACTCGTTATTATTATATGTAGTGATGATTATTTATTTATTTACTTATTTAACTTTTTTATGTCAATGTAAATGACAAATATGATACAATCGGATTTTAGTGGCTTTTAATCTTTCACTTATCATTAAATATATATATATATATATATATAAATATATATATATATATATATATATATATATATACTGTATATATATATGCGCTCCCATGTTCAAATTATTTACACGTC